TAAGTTTTTCGCATATATCTCGGAAACTATGCATCCTAGCGACATGAGACTTTCACAAAAGTGAAAGCTGATTAAATTTGCTACAAGTCTTATTCAGTCAAGTTTTTTGATATCTTGTATAGTTTTCGAGATATCCGCTCTTGAAAGTCTGCAATTATGGAAAAATAAAATTGCTTCACATTTTTGCTCTATTTGACTGGATAACTCTTCAACAATGCACCCAAAAAATAAAAGCCAAATAGGGTTGTAGAGCATTAAATTATCTTCAATAATATAATTTACCATACTATTTTATCTATTTTTCTTTAAATGTCATGGAGTATTAGAGCGCGTCTGGGGAACTAACCTCCACCTTACACAAAACCACAGTAAATTAAAAACCACCTTCTGATGTTATAGCTACTAACGGGATTGATACCATGTGCCTTGTTTTTTATGAGTTTCCGATATTTCGGCACTGTTGCAAGCGCCATGATCACGGAGTAACTGAAGTAATTGCGGGTAGGCTGTTACTGGCAGACATATCGGTCTACCACTGGTCACATTTTCACTATTCACTCGCACCTATTCCCGACACACAATACTCACAGTATCAGATGGTGGAACGACACTTTTTAGATTTTTGCGATTTTTGCACATACGAACTTTCACTGGATGATGTGCAAAAACCGCAAAAATTGCAACAGTGTCGAAATATCGGAGACTCATAAAAAACAAGGTACATGGTAACAATCCCGTTAATAGCTATCACGTCAGTGACCACGTAAGTTTAAAACAATACACCTTCTGATGGTGTTGTGTTTCTGTCGGTGATTATGGTTTCAGGGCTCCACGACGGGATTACGTGGGAGCAGGCAACGGCACGAGAGATATTTTTTGTATTGCAAACGTGTAAAGCAGACCCCTCTTTCCCAGTGAGCACTATGGGCAAGGGCCCCACTACCGATAGGGGCCCACCTAGTTCCTGTTAGATCACCGAACAGGGTCATAGGGGCCCCATTGTCAGAATATGCCCAGGTCAAAGTCAAAGACGGCACTGGTGTAAATGTTGCTGTGGCCGCTTACCATCTAGCGACCCATATGCACCCACCTTTTCAACTTAAAAAAAATACTTCCTTAAATTTTATCATTTTACAAATCCACTTTATAATAAAGCCCTGATACAAATTTAATTTCATAGCGAATGCTTGCGCAATTATTTCTGTGATTTGATCCTGTTTATTTATTTTATAAGGACCAACAGAGAATGTTACATTCAATCTTATTTTTAAACATTATATACAAAATTCTATTGAAGGTAGCCATATCATGCTTCAGAGACACACCAAAGGGGACGTCATTAGAAAGACTTAAGATGAACTACATTCATTCATTCATTCAGGCATTCATTAAGTTTCCGTTTTTTTATTAGTGCTTATTTTAAGTTGCTTTATAACTTCTATGTAGACGTGTTTAAAATGAATAATTACTCATAAGGAAGAAATGACAAAAAAATAACCAAATAAAAAATTAAAAAACGAAAAAAATTATTTTAAAAAATCCGAAAAAAATCAGACATACTCTATACATGTAACCCATCAATCTCACGAAGTTTCATAGAAACATTCAATTTCACCCTGTATAGTAGGTAGTACTTATTAAATAACCAATATTCTTACACAGAAAATGTAGGGGCATTATACAACTTAAACTTTGAGCATTTAGTAAAGCGGCCCAAAAAAACAGGGAAAGAGAAAAAACAGCCCCTACTGAGTTTCTTGCCGGTTCTTCTCGGTACAAGGTCTCCCGCCGTAGATTTCAAACAGATGGCGTAACTTTTCGACCTTCACAAGTGTTTGTAACAGCCTAGACTAAATCAATGACTTATGCGTTTGAGATTGAAAAAAAACAAAGATTTTTACTGAATACCAATTCTTTTCACAATACGAAAAGAACTTTACGTTAACTAATATCCTGAAACGTTTTTAAGACGGGCACCATCAGCGCAATCTTCAAAACGTAAACTTCGCAACTGCCCCATACACTATGACGAAATGTACGATGACGTCATGTTCCTCATTGAATGGCCGCGGAACTCGCCGAATTGGGCCAATACAATTGAAATCGCCTCCATACCGTTATCGTTATTTATTGTGCGCGACACGTGGAGTTTTTCAGAGAATATTTAAATGGCAGAAAACCAAATATGATATGTCATATTGTGAAAATGACAAAATATTAAAACAAATCTGTACAGATTACAGTAGGCAAAAATATGATTACATGGTGAAACTTAATTCCATACATTTTATGTGATATTATTGCCAGGTATCAGTGGTAAATATTATACTATCATAGTATCCATTTCATTCCCAGGGCCACACCTCAACTACTCTACATTTGGCATCAAATGGAAAGATAAAACTTTATTTTATTTCATTGGTAATGTTATACCCTTCAAGGGATGTCATAGCTTAATAACCATGAAATCAAATAGCATTTGTATGTAACTGCCCAGTTTCAGAAATTTTCTTTAGTCCGTAGTCAAGCTGTAGTTAAATTCATATGCATATTTGTATAAAATGTTTTTAATTAAAATAAAAACCAACTTCATAAAAACAAAGCCACTAAAATGTAAACAATAATACATAAAAATATTCTTTACTTATATCTAAAATACATTTATTGTTAAATTAACATTTGATGTCGGTGCCATGCTGACCCAAGCAGGAAATAGTAACTCAGATCCATTAACATGAATGGCACCAACTCCAAATCTTGATTTGATAACATCTATTTTACTATGCGAACAACAACCAAAAATTATAATACTGAAATGAGAACCTCATCCTCAGTAAAATAAAATGGGTATTAATTTGTAGATATGATGATGAAACTTGGCAACTATATGTGTATAAAAATATTGGTACCTACCTCTCGGTTCTTCTCTGTGGCGACCTTAGGTGTGAACAGCAGCTGGTTGACAAAGCCCAGGAACATAAGGATGTAGAGGCCCAAGTGAGTGAGCACGGCTGTGAGTAGTGAACTCTTCTCAAACGAGCCATGGTCCGAATCATACTGTGACCAGTCTATATCCATAAGATCTTCTTTGAAAATCTTCTGAAAATGTTAAATTTTATCTTGTTACACTTTCCATTCACCTAAGTGGTGCTGATGCTTTGGGGGGTCAGTACTATTAATTAGATAGTACATGAAATATCATATTAATATGATTTTTGGTTAGCACAAACCAAATATATATTACAAAAAAAAATACTTATAATTGCTGCAATAAACATAGATTTAATCTTTTGGAGACATTTGATAATAGAAAAATGAGAAGTATGTGAAGTAACATAATATATCAATATGTTTCACTAATCCAATTATCAAGAGATCCACTGTAATGATAGAATAGAATAGGCTAGTTGACTCATGTCGAATTGTATTAAATAAATGTTTATTTCTTAAAGTATTTGGTCTAGGGAACCTAAATATATCGATTTCACTTCATAAAAGCAGAAGATTGCTGTAGAAATTTAATTTGAAAAAATAATTTTTAGTCTATATTTTTGAAACACTAAAAACGATGTTCACCACATCCGCCATGATTGTGACGTCTCTTTTAGTAAACAACTAAATGTCATTCATACATAACTTTAAAACTTGTATTATTAAAACTGATAATAAATGAAGAGACTTAAAATATTATTCAATGAATACTTACATCAAAGTGATCTTCGCAAAAATAAATTTTACTATGAGTCGATAAAGTTGAAGGATCACTTTTAGCAAGTTCTAACCAGGTATTGCGTAGGTTAATTTCTTTCGGCACTTTAATCCACAACTTTCCTGGAGTCTTCAAGGTTTTTTTTACATTCTCGTACAATACAATAATGATAATTAGTATATTTTTCGTGGTATCTATTAGAAATCATGTTTTTTTTATTATAAACTCAGATAGGTTATTTTCTACGTGCTTACGAGTTTTTGTTTACTACCGTCGACGTCATAGCATAGATAATCTATAGACTAAAATGGCCGACAGCGTTTTTGTATGTCCATGAAAAGTCTATTTTAAAATTGAAGATTTGTAGCTTTCTAGGTCTCAAAAAAATACAATACATTTTTTTTCGGTCTAATAGAACATTTATTAACCATTTAAAACCTTTTTTCAAAAAGGGTCAACTAGTCTATTACAGGAAGGCAATTTTGTTCAAGACATTAGATTAATAATACAAGAGTCCTACAAACTTTAGCATGGCTAAACAGTACTGAGATGGCCAAATAATACACATCCAGCTTGAAAGCTGTGAAATAGCCAAGAGGTTAGATTGCCAAGGTTTAAAGCTTATAAAGTAGAACTATAAACATTTTTTTTAAAGGTTTTCAAATACTTCATTCTCATTTTCTTTAATATTGTTATTACCAATGCAAAAGAAAAAAAATGTGAGACATTTGAAAACCTTCAGTGGTTAGAAATAACAACATGAAATCTTAAGCAATAGCCATAACAATCCCGTTAGGCAATCGGCCTCCTGTTTTGTCTTTGAGTGTGGCCATTAGGAGGATGTATGATTTGTTTTCTCTTTAAAATACAAAAATCATAACTCAACCAGAGGCAGGTCAAGGAAATCAATGAGCAAGGCCCAAACTGTATTATTTGCTGACACAGTACATCTTTTCACATACAGTAAAATTAATGTTTACTAAATTACTGAGTTATAAAATAAATTAGGCGACTTGTTGTCATGTTTAACAAATATAAATTGGTCTTATCTATCGTATGATATTTCCTACCAATTGAACAAACTTTAATGATTCACGATGGACTTCCCCCTGGATCAGTAGAGCATTCGCCGGCGTGTTCCATTCTATATATATTCTTAGAAACAATTTCAGTCAACCCCAAGAATAACTCTTGCAGCGAATAGACATAAGGGGTTTACACCTATTAAAGTCTCGTTCGCCAAGATTTAAAAACTTACAAGGGGTTATAAAAATAAAAGAGGTCTACCTACCGTGACACCATTACTGATGTTTTTAGATTTGTAATGACCATTGCTTTGGTTGTAAACTTTCCCATTACTTATGTGATTGTCTTCTTTATTACTTTCCGATAAGGTTCTTAGTGGATTAACTATATGATTATCAGTACAACTGGTATCATCTACCTTCGTCGCCATCCTTGTGAAACTGAACTTGGTTTGACGTTTGGTTGACTATCGGAAAAAAAAGACATGCATATGACCAACCAAACAAACCAACACAGTAATCAAAAAACTAGCAAATAAATAAAAAGCAACCATATCAGTAGATAATAACGTTTAATTTGGTTTAAGAGAATAAAAACTATTCGAACTGTTTTACCGACATTGTTGTTCCTTTTTTATTAGTCTTTATTTTAAGTTAAAGTATTTCAGATCATACAGCCACATGAATGTACTATCAATAGTATTTTAGCTTTATTGGAAAACTAATATTAGAAACCTAAACCTATAAATCTTATGCAGGGAATCTTCGCTATATGGCTACTATTATTAAAATTTCACAGATACGTACAATTCAGTATGTACTTCGAGAATACGTCATGGTGTAGATTCGGTTATTCCCGCTAATCAACTTTGTACCCTCTGGTGACAAGTGGTCTAACAAAAAATCCCATACGTTGCCCCGTATGGCGAATGGCATTTCATTTAAGAAAATATCAAGGCGTTGTAAAGGTACGGAACGTAATCTTGCAATAGTACCACACTATAGAAACAAACAAAGTGTCAAAGTGAGCCTTCGTCGGTAAAACAGCATCTTTTATTCCGCAATAGAGATTTCTGAAAAGTCGATAATTTCCATTCTTTTCCTTTTGACTAAAGTCCTTTCAACTAGTTTTGAATATATTTTGAAGTACCTATTTGAATTTCATTCTATTTATTCGGAATTTTCTTCAAAACGTATATCCATATTTCATAAATTTGAATATTGGCGAAAGGTGCCGCCCCCGCTGCATTTGACGGTCGGAGGGGCCGGCTATGAGTAATACAGTTTTTCGTATTGAGTGACGTCGTGCAGTGCAGGCGGCTGGCCGGCAAGCGACTCGCAAACATCAGTCTGATACGTCGGAGAGGCACGGAAGGACCCGCCCTCGACATTAGTTCTTCGCACTCGCGCTTTTATCGCACCCTATTGATCACGCGGACGCACTACTTTGCTAATCTGAAAGAAAAAAAATAAACGAGAAGACACAATGGACAGTGCCGACTCTTTATTGGGGGGGCTAGCGAGCGGCGATAGCGTTCCTCCAGCAGCGGCGGCACCCCGCGCAGAACCCGCTCTTAAACGCGAACAGGACTCCACAGACGACTTCGAGCATCTCGAACGCGACAGGCAAGAGGCGGGGGAGTCTCCGCTGCACCAGCACCGCGTCGCTTCACAGAGCTTCCTGGACATGGAGCGCGACGAGTTCATGGACCCGCCTCGCGTGCCCTTGGGTGCCGACAAGCTGGTCGATCAGCTCGCTGATAAGTTCACCGACAGCGAGTCGGACGCCGACACGGCAGGCGAGTCACCGCTGCACCGCCCGGAGCCCCTGAGGGCTAGCGCTCCCGTGATGGAGCCGCTGGCGCCCGCGGCTGTGGACCCCACGCCCGTGCTGGCACCGGCCCCGGTCGCGGCCCCCGCCCCCGCCCCCGTTGCTCCATCGGCCGCCACTCTACCGCCGAAGCCTGCACCAGAACCGATCCCTGAAGCGAAGCCGGAGCCCCCGCGCGTGCCCACCCCGGAACCACCGAAGCTTGAACCCAAGCCGGAGCCGCCGAAAGTTGAGTTCAAACCGGAGCCGCCGAAGCCTGTGGCGACCCCGCAGCCCGAAGCAGCGGCCCCCAAGCCGAAGCCAGCCCCGCCGGCGAAACAGGAGGTGGTTCATCAGCGCACTCCCACGGCGCACATCATCGAGGCTGAAGTCATATTCTGTCAGATGGGACTTGGTAAGTTTTTTTTTCTAATTCCATTGTCTTTTCGTCCTTTTTAGTATAAAAATAAATCTGCTGATTCATTTTATTTCTCTATGGAAATTTTGAAAGAGATATTAGCGACTTCATTAAAATAATAATATTACACGATATAGATAGGGGCCGATCAGTATTGCACAATGAATAATAGGCTAAGAATGGTGTGTGCTTTGTATTCACTTAGCAAACACTCGATCTATATTTGTATCGATATGATTTCATCGACCATTTCCTTAGTTCCGCGACTGGCGACGACGACATGCACGAGTCACTTATTTTTTTGTAAGTAACATTGATCATTCACTCGGTCGGCGTCGCCACCGCGTCGCCTCGAGGCGAGTGCTGCAGACCGTGAACGAGCACGTCTACAGGTGCATTGTGACTGTGCCACGACGACTGTCTGCGATGATGACCCATCAACGCGCAATAAGCATGCTTGGCTGGCCGTGATTCACTATGCAAGGATCAATATTAACAACATTAAGTACCTATCCGGAAGCCTTGCCTTGCGGAGGGGGTAAACTGCAAAGGTGGCGGTGGAGCGAGGACATTGACCGCGGTGCACCGCGCGAATAACGGCACCCGCTGAAACCCACGCCCGTTCTTTGCATTCACGAAACGGCATACAATGCCATTGTGGCTAATCTCTGAACAGCGGTATCTTAATGACCGCAATACTATTATAATCCTAGCGCATTTATCGAGGTCTCTGAGGAACCCCACTTGACTCTGCTTTGGGGATACCTAATCGATAAATGTAAACTACGGGCGAACACGCACATACGTATGACTCATCGACATGAATAATATTATGGACATAATTACAATTATAATGTTCCTGGAAAGATTACGCATTGACTTTAAAAGCCTGCGCAGACGAGAGACATGTCCGCGGACTTTTTTGTCCGCCAAAATAGATTGGTTACAACTGCATCGAGTAGTTGAAAGTACCGCGTACAAAAAGTTCTCCTAACAACCGTGGACACCGAGAGACCTGACCGGGCAAAAGGACGGTGATCTCCGAAAAAAATAACTCATGTGACTAGGGACAGCAACACGCAGCTAACCGATGTCCTCGTTGTGCGCTCGATTCCATTTATAACGTCTTTTTTTTTCTTAAAGTTCATGTTGATTACAATACAACGTTATCTGAGAATATTCACTTACTTCCATAGCGTGCGTTTCTCTTAATTTTGGGGCAACATGTTCGTACATCTTGTGTCCATGGAGGACAGAAGTCCCCCGTCTGCGCAGGCCATTAAAAATTGTATTCAATTTAAGTTAAAATGAATACACAACATTAAAAATGTGAAGCAATGATACCTAATCAAGAGAAATCCTCATCTAATACATTATCAGTGGAACATTAGAAGAAAGAACGGACATTTACGCTCGCCATTATCTCAGAAATTTCACTTTTATCATACTTATTATCTTATCATTTAGTCTATACAATGACACGAAATTGTCTTTCAAATCCCTGTTACAATTTACAATAATAAAGCAAAGAAGACTGGATTATTTCATTTACCGAAGCATTCCTGAGTTTGGGTTGACTACATTGGGTTGGATATTCGTATGGACAAGAATATTTTCGGGAACCGAAACTATTCGGCAAATATTTCAGTCGGCATGATTTCCATCGTTGTGAGGGAGCGGCGCGCGTGGCACGCGCCTGCAAGTGCGTCGGCACCATTGCTAATTTTAGCAGCAGTTCGGAAGCAGTGGCCACACTCACGAGAACCCTGACACAGCGCGCTCGCGTCCACAGGGACCGCCACACCGCCCAGCGCTAATGACATCCGCGTTTAAGTTATCCATGTAGACTTGATTGACAGTGCCTGTCGACTAGTGATTTATTTGGATACCCCAAAAAGACATTGTGTTGTATTGTATTTTCTGTGACTTTAACTATGGGATCTGGAAGTGATGATGCTGTCACACGTGAGTATCTTTCTATATAGACACGATATATTAAGCAGAAGGATAACGTAGATTAAATAAAATGATCTTTGCGATTATTCTGTCTATTTTGGTAAACCATGGTGGTGGGAGTAGCGACTTGTATTTTTAATCGTTTAAACCGCTGCACATCATGCTTAGATTTTTTTGTAGGTATGATATTGAGATATCTAAATTATTATAAAAAAACTGAATTTAATTTTTATCGTACACCATCGCCGGTTCCTGTATTCCATAATGAAGCGTGTTATTTTTGTTACGCAAATAACCAATTCGTCCGAGTCGACCGCAGCATTACCTACGCTATGAATAAAAAATATGACAGCAAACATAGACGACCGGCTATGAGAGTGATCTCGATGTCAAACTGTCTATTCAATGGATCGCATTAATTATATCTCTATACTACAACTTTACAAAATCTTCAAAACTATTGTCTCTGATATTAATTTTGAATACTGTAGCATAGCATTGAGTGAGTTTCGTTTCATTCACAAAGTGTAATTATGCTCCGGAAAGTTGAAGGGTGTTTACGCCTCTGCCTGACTACCCTTGACCTATTTCAGAGTCCCTTTTGTCAAATGAGACGCAATACCCTTTGTGTATGCTTGGTTTAAATTACGTCTTTCTCACGCCGACCTAGTTTTTGTAACCACACAAAGAGTCACCTATATGAATGAATGTTTCAGTGCAATCCAGCAGGTAGAAATTTATTCTCAATGTTAATTTAACCAGTTCCATGCATCTTACAAGTAATGTAGTAACCTTGTCATACATGTAGCTTATTAGTGGAGCTTCCGTTCTGGACTTTCTTTGTATCATTGAATATTTTAGGGTTTGCGGAAAACCCCAGACAGACGCAATAAAGGCTGGGTAGGCCTGCGATGGGGAGGCGCAGGGGGAGGGATCGATAGCCTACGCGCGCCGCCCGTTGCCAGCCGCCGCCGCACATACTCTCCTCGTCTTGTCTACTCATAAACTTCTAATCTTAAAAGGATCATGCAGTTATTTAGTTTAACGGCTTTACTTTACTAATTACGGAGTCAACTAGCTTTAAAGTTTGATTGCAGTTATTCATGTCACTTTCTTTGCTTTATCAATGGGACAACACGTGACAAAATGATCTTAAATTATTTGTTCGTATGGGTACGACCGTTAATTAATTTGTTATGACTGCATTATTGGTTTCCAGCGGGATTTTCCAACGTTGTTTTGTTCAAACTGATATTTGTCTTTTACTAATAATCGGGACTTCGTCGGATAGCTTTGCAAATCGTCTCAACACTGTTTTTAAATTATTCCCTTCTCAGACATCAACTTTATCTCCGTACTTATTTTTTTTTATTTGATTCAGGTGTGGAAAACTTACTGTCTGGTTGTTATTGGTCTTCGGCTGTTATATCAAAGGAAACCTTTGATAGGTCTTCTTTAATGTTCTATTAAAAGATTAATATGTTGTGAACGTTAACTATTTCTGGTTTGTTTTCTTTCTTCAATCATTTAAATGAAACTAAAGATTTGTATTATTTTGGTCCCTTAATTGTTTTGGTTCATAGGAATTTTAGCTTACAACAAATTAAGAAAGACATTGAGCAGTTATAAAACTTGTTGTAACTCTTTTGTTGATATATATTTTGCCTGATACGAATAATAGGCGTGATAACGTTGAGTAAACGAAATTCTATATAGTCCGTTAGTTAGATTTTATCAATAAATAATGAACTCGTATTTTATCTTTGGTCCATCAACCTAAAAATTACAAAAATAATGCGCGTCAAAATTTAGTAGTGGGGGCTCACGACGTCACTTTTAAGTAAATATTGTACCAAAACGTGACGTCATGCGACATTTGAAATCAATATATTTCTGTAATGTTTTTATTATGTGAATTAATAATCTACCTTATAGACAAAGAAAAAAAAGTTTGTCGTCGTCCCTGTTTATCCTATTAATAACAAATCAATAAATCGCTGAGAAATCAGCTACCTATTATATCATTACTCATTACATTACAGTAACGTGCTCTGTCTGCTAGACGTGTTCTGACCTTGACTGTGTAAATGCACATTATCAGTAATCAACACATTTGTTTGTTAGACTTTTTTTGTGGTTTTCCTGGCGTGGAAAATTTCGCCATTTGGAATGTTTTGCTTCCGATAACACTAACTTTTAGGTTCTTCTGCCTGATAATAAACTCTATGAACGAGGGAACTCATCAACATCGCTTTGTTAGTTAATAAATGAAGATAATTTTCTTTTATCCGAAAAACACTGATGACTTATTACGTCTATAATAGGCATGTGCCCCAATACGATGACATTATTGATTGATGATCAATGAGGATCCGTAACGATTTAAGTTGAGAATGCAGATCTATAGAGCTAAGGATTCCATAAAATACAGTGGTTACATTTTTGTTCTACGACAAATATTGACGAAGTTATGACCAAATTACTGAACGAATTTTCGGCTGGCCGCGTGGTGTTTGTGACGGCCGCCGGTGAATATTGGCTACCATAAAATTAGTTATAAAATCGCGACGAATGAACGGATTTCGATGATTTGAAAAGTATATTAATTAAAAAGCTTGTTAGATCATTATACTGTTGATTTTGAATTGATTTGCTGACCTAGTAATGATCCTCATTGTTTCCATTAGTTCTGCATTTAAGAACATTGTTGGGCTTATTAATGGGGTCCAAATTGTTTTGTGTGAGTTATAGTGATGGTTCTCACAAGGTCTGGCGTGGGGTTTGATCTTCAGGTGTGTTGTGGCGGAGCTGGTGCTATGACAATGCAGATGCGTGTGACGCGATGTCACTAGGTTAGGTAGATTCGCATTCGCACCCGCGTATTTTTAGAGCGGCCGGCCGTCGCGGCATGCGCGCCTCTTGTCTCCCCAGTTTCACTATTCCACATAGCATTTGTTATCAGTTCTACATTTATTTAAATCATTTATTTATTTGTTTGACATACCATCGACAATTCACAATTTACAAATTTCAATAAAGATTAAAGATCTCTCCTCAACTCAACCGTGTGAATTGCCATTGCAGGCAAGTACAACATTGACTATATGTAGTCAGGCACTTACTTATACTTTTAACAGTAACAAATTGCTGTTCGGTTTGAACGTTACCATACAGATGATTTTTGAGGGTTTACATATTATAAAAAAAAATGTTCGTCGAACTATAAATGATTTTGTAGCTGAAATAAAAATGCTGGAGTTTTTGTAAAGTTGCTGTACCTACAGATTTACTATGGTAAACTAAAAGGTGCGTGATTAGGTCATTAGTAGGAGGCTCCGAGCCCGTCGCTCGGTCGCGATGAGTCACTCGCTACCGCGTTTTATGTCCTCCCCAAGTAGGTACCACTGCCGCAACCATGTGCTTTGAATCGTTATTGATGTCGATTCTGGCATGATTCTCTAAAGCTAAACTTAAATTTGAATTTCGTCAATGGCTGTATATCATGCAAGATTGTTATACCTATTCCCTTACACTCTTACTCCCATCCTTTAAACCTTTTATTTATTTCCTGTTTCGTTTCATTTCCTCTCCTCTTCTTTCGCCTCTAACTATTATTAAACCGTCCACTCCTCTCCTCCCTGGCTGCATCTCGACGCGGCCTCGGATTTTGATGGAGCTACTCTACCAAATATCGAAGAATCCTCTACATCACAACTATGTTATATTCATCACCTTAAAATGTAATAAATAATTGAGTTATTAAAAAAAAACTTAAATTTGACAACAGTGCATCCCTGTCATTCTCAATACAGAATGAAAATGAGAGACTGACGTTAAATTTAGTTTGAAGTTAGAGAATCACGCTAGAATCGACACCATTGTAATAAGAATGTATAATATGACGACGTAAGTTGCATACCGTGACGGCATGTCTCATTAATTATATTTCAATTCTGACGGTGGTACACAACCAGAAAGAAATGCCTCAAATTAGCTGTAATATTAAGTTATTTTTATTTTACAATAACAACACATTACCTTTTGTGTGAAACGTCTGACTTCGGACAAAAGGACTGTAGGTGGCCAACTACTGGAAGATGATTCATTTTAAGGACCTTGAAACGTTTATAACTTGCTTGCAGTCACAATAAGTACCTATTGTGTTTATTAGCAACTACAATGTTGTTGACGTAATAAAACACAGCCAATCATTATGACTCAAAATATATACTTTTCATTTAAGTTACATGAAAAGCACGTTAAAAATCATATCGAAATTCATAACTTAATATAACCTTTGACCGGTCACTTAAGCTTCGACTAATAAGTTTGTACGATACTAATGATTTAATTTAATATACAAATAATTAGTCTGCTTCTGCTTAATAACGTATTTATATACCTACTAACAGACTGACGAACTGACGGAGAACAGATTTACATATTTGACGTTTGTTATTGTAAACTTCTTCTACTAAGTACTCGTATTTTATGTATCATAGTATAGTAGATACTAACCCTGACTATTCAACCTTTTTGATTACTAATATCAAAGTTTCCACTCTCGCCGTCACCGCCTCACGAATAAATATAAATATTGACAATCGAGACAGTCAACACTAGAGGGCCGCGCCCGTGCCTGTATGTCACCGGTGCCGGCGCGGTGTCTCAGCTCGGGGCTGTGGTGATCGTCTGCCGGCAGTGGTGCGGTGGCGGCGTGGTGACGGCGCTGCAGCATGGCGGTCCCGGGGGTGTCGGCAGGTAGTGTGGGCTCGGGGCGTGGGGCACGGGGCACGGGGCACGGGGCGAGGCGCGTGCGCGGTGGGGCGGCGGCGGAGGGAGCGCGCGGGGCTGCGCCGTCAGTATCGACGCGAGAGTCGGGCGCGGCGCGCGCTCTTATCGCCGCCTTTATTTAACCGCCTCGCGCTGCTAGTTACGTAAAGTGTCACCATGGTAGACTCCGGGCCCTCCCTGTGCAGCGTGCTCGACCCCCGTAAGTGGCCGCCGCGCGCCGGCTAAGCTTCGCTGCTTGTTTCTCTCTGTCGCGACTAACCCGCTAACACGCCGCCTTCTATTGCAGATGCTTGGTTCGACCCCCAGAGGCTACACCCCGAAGGTGAGTTGTCGTCGCGGCCGGAGGGCAGAAATATTCGTAGATGGGCTCGGGGCCAAGCTGCGGCCCGGGCGAGCGCGCGGCCCTACGCCCGCCCTCGTTGTGTGACCCGGTGACCGCTACCCTAGTGTGTCGCAGGCCCGAGGAGATCTAGTGTTTGTGAGCCTAGTGTTTACGGAGGACCTTCGGCCTCGCGCCGCCGCCGATGACGCCGCCGCGGTAACGTGTGTCGTGGTGACGGAACAACAATAATTTGATACCGAGTGTCCATTCAATGTTTATTGCATGCATGCCCACTGTTGTAATATTAGCACGCACCATTGTCACTCACAAACTATCCGGGTCATATTCGATGCTAATATAAACTCTCGTTACCTCGACATCTTTAATGAAGCCAATTCTTGGCCGATATCTCGTTCGATTGTATTTAAGAAGTCATTCTGATTACAAGTGCTATCGAGACCCAAAACCTTTACTTTGAAAGGTTGTTACCATGCCGAAATCATCAGTTTTTTTCATTCTTCCATATTGTAAATCCACGTGCACTACAGGAATCGCCAAAACTTTAAGAATATATTGTTAGTTATCATCCGTGTACACTATAATTGCGGGGCTCGAGATTTGCACGCATGCGCTCTGCTGCCCGCAGAGACAACAACTCTGCCAAGATCAAATTAGAATGATTTTATCCGACATTGAGGACTGTAACGTGTGATTTATGACTTCTAATCATTCCACCCGACCAGATACTCATAATCTAGATTGAATCTAAAACCTTGAGTACAATACCTCCGATGTTTGAACCACCCAAAGGCAGGTTACGCGAGCAATCTAACACTTAACCTAATTTAATTAGAGCACATTGAGAATCGTTTCAAGCTTGCCCCTCGACTCGAGGAACACCTCGCTTCGGTCTGTACTTGTAGTTGTAGTTTCGCGAGTGTGTGAAGTGTGGTTAACTTGTTTCCTTCCCGACCCACATACGCACGAGAGTAACTTGACTCGACATTGGAGGTTACACGCATGGATCCTTTTACAACCACTACTATTCGTGGTGTAAATGCTGTTAATTGTCTAGCTTAGTTACTGGAACATCGGTCTCTTAAAGCAATATGTTATGTATTTAGCTTCTCTAGCGTAGTGTGTGTATTTGTAAATCGCTTTTCATCTGATACGTTGTATAGACCCTGGTGGGTCGGGGAGACGGGGCATGCGTCCGCGGTGATTACCCATTTCCCGTACAAACACCTAACCGTAGAATACTCTCATACTAGCCGAGATAAAAGCTGATAACCGTGTCTTGGAAACATCACGTTATCTCAGACAAGAGTGTCCCACGATTCCAATAGCAAATGTTATCACTTGAAATTCATAATTTAATCTCACTGGAAATGGGCAAGTCACGTTTACAAAGGTGTCTACCGCGTGTTTAGAAGTACCGACTACATGTCATTTGAAATGAAATGAAAAGTCATTTATTCAGTCCAGGCTGTTACAAGCACTTGTAAAGGTCAAGAAGCTACGCCATCGATTCGCAAAACTACGGCGGGACACCTTGTACTGAGAAGAACCGGCTAGAAACTCGGCAAGGGCTGTTTTTTTGTCCCTGTATTGTTATATACAGAGTCGTCTATTTTGAAAAATGACCTCAGAAATACGTCTGAAGTCACCTTGCATCTTCAAATGTGTAGACTCCTCTGAAAACATTGATGTTTAAAAAACCGTTAACTTGGCTGGTAGTCTCTTTAGTTAAAATATGTTTGGCTGTTGTTGTAAATAGGCAGTAACATAAAAAAATGTTGCTATTATTTTACTCTTAATTGATGTATAATTACGGATATTTCTCGACTTATGGTATACAATACATTTTTAATGAGTAATTTAAATAGTTTATCATTAGCACTATCTCTTCTATTATCAATAATGAGGAAATTATGACATAATTTTTCTCATTCTAACATATAAAATATAAAAGACCAGTAATAGTTGTAAGTACTACATTGAAATGACTTCTTTCTTTATTAGAGCTAGTTGACAATCAAGGTTCGCTTAGGACAGGAGGCTAATCGGACACAGAAAGACTTCTATTTAAGAGTTTCCTCAAATCCGATGCCTGCAATCCCATTGTATGATTTTGATTAGGCTTCGTACAATACAGGTTATTGATTCGACGGTGAAACGGGATACGGGCTTATAGACGTTGAGGATTTATCGTTAAATACGATTTTGCTTTGTTGTTTTGATTAATCTTCTATTATGGATTTGTGATCGTAACCTTAAAAGGTAGTATCAATTGCATTACTAAGAAAGAATTTTCCCTAATTACTGAGAGAGAATTTCCCCTAATTGCTGAGAGAGAATTTTCCCTAATTACTGAGAGAGAATTTTCCCTAATTACTGAGAGAGAATTTTCCCTAATTACTGAGAGAGAATTTTCCCTAATTACTGAGAGAGAATTTCCCTTAATTACTGAGATGGAAAGTTGTGGTTCCTGCAATTTGTGAAGCAGTGAGTGAGCATCGGAATATGAGTGCGTCGATCGGGCGGCGCTACGGAAGCTCCGCGCTTTATTTATACCTCTCGGGCAGACGACCACGACCTCCCATTGTATTTCTGTATTTTTACCGTCTTAGCCACATTCCACTTATTTATACTGCAAAAACGTGCAATTTCGATAGGTTCACTAATTTGTTCCTCATCATCATCATCAACAGCCTATCTTAGTCCACTGCTGGACATAGGCCTCTCCAATTGCACGCCACTCAGATCGATCTTGGGCTACTCGCATCCAGCTCCTGCCAGCCACCTTGCGCAAATCGATTTGTTCCTAATGAATTGAAATTTCGTTAGATTTTTTGTTTTACTTCAAAAGTCCTTTAGCTTACACGTACTCTGATAGCTATAATTTTCTGGGTACTTTATTTATTTTATCAAGTGTTTTTTTCATAAAAAAAATGGTTGCCTGTAAAGTCGGTTTTACGGGCGAAGATTTTACGTGACAACGTCTTTTTCTCGGTAGAATATTTATTGATATGAATATAATTAAATTGCACAATAGGAACAAGGAATTGAATGAAAATAAGAATTGCACAAATTTTAACTATAGAAATATATTTTGTTTACTAAAACATTGTACATGTAAACTTAAACTTAACACGAGAGACTCATCGTAACGTTACCGAGCGTTACACTTTTTCATAAGTGACTCCCAGCCGCAACCTAATTTAAGACGTTGTCACGTCAAAACCAAAAATTTATTTAATATAGCTCATAAGCTCCGGTTGTGCAGGAGGAAATAGGTACTTGTCGAATTTGGGCGTTCAAACACGACAGATATAGTTATGTTATATTATCTTAACGTGTCCCGTTAAACCTTAATGAATTCTAAAATTTCGAAAGACATAATTATATTTAACTTCACAATGCCTTATATTCCGTTCTTTATGAAAACAACACAGGTTTTATGTAAATTTTGCTGCTTACACGAAAATTGTTATGTAAATCACATCTTGAAAGGTTGCTCTGAAATCATCTTTTACTTGTTTGTGCGTCAAAAGGCTTAGAAGTGACAAAGGGGATGTATTTAGCAGATTATGTAATAACTAGCGGCCCGCCCTCGCTTCGCTTCGGTGTAGAGCTGAAGTGTAGACTACAGTTTTTGTCTCAGGCTTGTATTATACACAATGACATTAATCTATGATTTTTCTCATACCTGCATGCAAAGTCTCAGCCCGATCGGTCTAAAATTGACAAAGTTTAATACAAACTTTCATTCCCTATTTTATCCCCTTGGGGGTAGAATTGATCAAAATCCTTTCTTAGCGGATGCCTACGTCATAACATCTACCTGCATGCCAAATTTCAGCCCGATCCGTCCAGTGGTTTGGGCTGTGCGTTGATAGATCACTATGTCAGTCAGTCACCTTTCAGTTTTATATATATAGGTATCCTACCTGTCTTTTCATGCTTTTTATTAGGAAAAACAATGTTGGTCGTAACAAAATTATTTGTATAGATACCGTGATGGTTCTAGTATGAAAAACAGGAATGTTTTAGTTATAGCAGCTGTACGTGGTTGCGTTGTGCGTGTTTTGTATACAAACATAAGAACTTGCATGACCGGTCGCGATGCGGTGGAAGGCCTTTCCCGTAACTCGACACAGCCGTTACTTCGCTCCGATTCCTTTGTAGAATGAGCTCAAACAAAAACGCGTAAAACTATAATAGTAGGTAGTATTATCACTTTGATTGTTAACAGTTATTTTCTAATTAGGAAATAAACATTAAGTATTGACTCCTAGGGCAGTGTGCATGACGAATCATTCAGGGGTCGATATCTAGTTAGGGGCGTTACAAAGTTCAAACTGTCATTGGTAAATAACTAACAGAAAAATATAGAAAATGGACTGAGACAACAATTTTATTAGGTATGTCTTTAAGTTATTTAGCAGGATTATATAATCCGTCCCGCGCCTTGCATGAATAGGTTTCGTTTTGGCCCGATATGCATCGTCTATATCTTGCCTGTAGCAGAAGCAATGTGTTTTCTACTGGTGTATGATTTAACAAATTATACAGGATGTTACAAAAATACAAATAAAGCTTGAAAAATCAGTTATTTTTGATGATTAATAAAATTATCGATCATTTTAAGACACGTCACTAGTTCGTGGATCATTATAAATAACTGTTTTTATAAAAATTTAAAACATCATGCAAATATTTTAAGAAAATTTGAGAAGACTCCTTATATGATGTACTTCAACGCCCTTCAAGCTTTATTTGTATTTTTGTAACACCCTGTATTACTTTTCTATAGTATATAACTATAAAATATTGCGTGGATCACGAGTGGTACTTTACTCCCGTTATGTCCTATAGTATATTTTGTGTTGTCTCTTCATTGGAGGACACAATATTGTTATTTGAAGAGGTTGGGGACAATATCAGAGACTGTGGGTTCTCCACGTGGTCACTGAGTCACAAACCATTTTGTCTTGTGA